ATTTCACATTATTCATTCTTATTATCTTGTAAAAGAGTTCTTCACTTAGCCAATAATAGACACAGCTCTCTGCAATGCACTCTCCAGCTATTGCTTTCGTTTCATTTGTAATTTGCACGTTTAATGATATATCGGTTTTCGCAGTTTAAAGCAATACTAAAAGCTAACCACTAACCAAACGGTAAACATAAAAAATGCTGACTTGTAACCACTGCTAATGCTAATTCATGTTGCCCGTAAGCTATCTTTAAAGTGCACCTACACCCAAAAAAATTTTTTCGCTTAACGAAGTAAGCTTATTTTTTTGAGTATTTCTGCGCAAAAATTTTTTTATTTGCTCAAATCTTCAATTTTCTATGCCCAGTCAAAATACGGAAAATCGGCCGCCATCTTGCCCCCGACCGAGTTTAAAGAGGAATGGCTCTAGTGGGTAATGTGACGTCAAATCGAGAACACGAAAGTCTGCATTTCACACATTTTCACTTGTTTGGGAAGGTTGTAGTCGATAATTGTCCGAAAATATGTCGACTAAGTGTGTTGTAGAAGGATGTAGCAACGTGCGAAATTTGCAAGAGGGTATCGCGCTTCATACATTCTTCATACAACACACCTAGTCGGCATATTTCAGACAATATCGACGACAATCTTCCCAAACAAGTGAAAATGTGTGAGATGCAGACTTTCGTGTTCTCGATTTGACATCACATTACCCGCTAGAGCCATTCTTCTTTAAACTCGGTCGTGGGGCAAGATGGCGGCCGATTTTCCGTATTTTGACTGGGCATAGAAAATTAAAGATTTGAGCAAATTAAAAAACTTTTGCACAGAAATATTCCAAAAAATAAGCTTATTTCGTTAAGCGAAAAAAAAATTTTGGGTTTAGGTGCACTTTAATTATTAAAAACTGGATCATTGGATAATGCAATTCAAGACTTTTTATTGGCTTAGCCATTCTGGTATATCAGCCAATATACCATAATCTACAAACATAGTAAGCGTACGCGTCAGCTTAAAATTAAAAGGAAGCTAAAATAATTTAATGAAATTTGATAATTTAATTTAACGTTTCTAATAAAACAATTATTCCACTCGCGCTTGTTGGTTAAGAGATGATTATAGCCAACTCGGCGATACCCGCCTCGTTGGCTATCTATCATCTCATATCCAACGCGCGCTCGTGGAATAATTGTTAAATAATCGTACGTGATGCTTACTTCAGTCATCCCAGTCTCTCTGGTGATGGCTCGGCCAACTTACTGGAGCAAGAGAATGATGTCTTGTTCTTTTGCTATTGAATTGGGAAATTTCCTTGTCCCGTAAACAATTTAAACTTGTTAATTGACCGAATACTATGAAGTTAACGAGACAGCTCTAGGCCGTATCGCATGATTACACACGAATCTTGTAACCTGAAATAAGACATCAAGCCTATGAATAGGCCGATTAGCAGCTTCCACTATCAGAAATTTTGCTTAAGTTTTATTTCTTTTTTCTGCCACATTTGCCCAAATCCATGCAATTATCGAATAGTTCGCATAATGTTTCATCGGGTTTTCGGTTGCTAAGTGCTGAGAGGTTCATTTCCTACTTTGTGCATTTTTTGTTTTGTAGTTCTGTTGTTTTGCATAACTATTCTTAGGCACTCAAGTGTCACAACACCATAGGTCGGGTCAACTGTCCCATCTGTTTTATTCTAAATACATTAAAAACGGAGTAATGTTAAAATAAGCAGCTCTCATCAGCTACCCATGATGTTCCTATACTAACGCCTTTAAAGAAAGCTCTGATTAGGAATAAAAACACTTGTAACCTAAGGCTTCCTTCGTCGTGTTAGTTTGACGGAAACTTGGTACGTTGTTAAGGTGATTTTGACGTGTTTTGACTGGTTCTGATATGTTTGAATGTCATTCAAGACTTTGGTCAGATGATTTCAACAGTGCTATGCGCGTTTAACTTAGATAAGAAAACTAGGATATAGCCAATGAGGTCATGCCTTGTAAGTTTTTTTTAAAACAAAGCCATTTTATGGTAAGATTTGTGGTTACTCAAATTTGTCGTGCGTACGCGAAAATGAGAGCGTTGGTTCAACAGGAAGGTTCATCAAAAGACAATGATACTTGTAACTTTAAACTTTCGAAGCTCGCGCGCGACTTATTCGCAGTGCTGTCACAAATTTAGCCGACGTTTTCAATAGGAAGCGACATATTATAGTTTCATAATTTCCGAAGCCAAAAACTATTTTCAAATTTTCTCCTTTCCGTCTCACCCTCGGCGATAGGATATGGCGCTTTCATGTAACTCTTACTAAACCATCTCTTACAACCAGCTTGGAGTTAAAACTTTGAACTAACAACGTCTCCAAACAATCACATTAATCAAAGAATCACAATCAAATTTAACTTTGATCTGTCCTTTTTTTTTTTTTTTTTAGAGGGGGAGTGGGGAAAAGGAATGAAGTAACCGTCTAACATGTTCTTTGCTCTTTTTCTTTCTTTCCTTTTTTTTTTTTGCCTCTTTCAGCTATGGTGATGATGCATCAAAGGAATCGAATCCATCAGTGGACAAAAATGATACAAAAAGTGTTGATGAAAGCAATATCTCGAGCGCAACAATTGTCTCCGACTTAAATAGCAGCGAAATGGCCGACCCTGTTAAGAATGAGGATCTAATTAACCTAAGTCTTAAACTTCCACCATCGGCAAACGCTATTGAGGGGCTGACTATCCAGGATACTGGCCCTGCTCCTCCCTCTCCGTATACACTTCGCAACAGAAAGATCTCGTTAGGTTCTCAGGACAGTTCCTACGACGAACCTTATAACAACTTGGAGGAGATTGACGCTGGCATAACACCGCCGCCGGATTTTAACCCCGCTCAGCCCCCGTCGTTTGTATTTAATCCCGAAGAAGGATCGGGCGGTCTTCCCGCTGCTCCGACACTTTCCCGATCTTCTTATCCCAATGAACCTTACGGAGTCGAGGATAAATCCGAGGAAGAAGCCGTGGTTATGGAGGTTAAGGAGATTGAAAATATGGAAGATGCTAAAGAAACTGAGGATACAATCAACGATTTTGACGATATTCTAAACAGTCTTCTCGCGAACGAGCAAAAGGATGAACCAGAGGGCGCTCAAGGAACTTTCACGAGATTCGACGGCTATGATTCGACCGTATTGATGTTTTAGTTTTTCGAAACGAGTAAGCTAGAACATTTTATGAACAAACTCACCAAGGGTCAGATTTCGAAGTCCGGCAGATTTTTCATTGGTCTTTTGACGAATGGGAGAGCTCTCAAAGAACTTTCATAAGATCTGACGGCTAGTATTCGACCGTGTTAATGTTTAGGCTGGCAAATTTAAGCAATCATTAGCGATAATTGAGAACTTCAGATTCATAAATTTAGTCGAATATTTTGCTTGCATGTTCAGACAAGGCAAATCGGCTTGAGACATGACTTTCTTAAAACAAACTTGTGTCTCAATTTCTTTGGAGAGGTCAGTTTCCTGGACTCTCACTTGTACCTAGTTCCAATGGTATACTGAACCATCACTGAATTTATTTTTAATTAGGTTGTTCTTATATTGAACCCCTATTTTAATTCTTTAATGCGTATTTATATATAGATTTCAAGTATTTATTTTCAATGTGTCTTTATTCGTTACTTCATGCGGAGTTTTTTTTAATAGTTTTTGTAACGTTACAGTGAATCTGACAAATGGAGTGGATTAGTAAGGTGTTTAAAATGGGAAAGCCCGCCAGGTAAAGCTCACAACAACTAAAAGTAGCTGTAAATTGTGATCGCCTGAAAATTAGAGTGTAAAGGTAATTATTCCAATGACTAGATTGGTTTTTATTTTTCAAGAGCTGTTTGATTCTTTTCAGTTGCTCTACAAAATGTTGCGCAAGTGTTGGCAAACAGTTAAAGATGAAGATATTGGTGCCTCAGTGTAGCCTGGGAGCTCCCCGACCGAGTACATTCATTTGTTTTGTGTTCTTACATTGTAAATGAAAGAGATATGGTAAGTTCTAAAGATCGTTCTGTTCAAAAGATTGGGATTCTTTTGAACATTTTCCATAGCTTGGTCCCAAAATCTAACAAAAACATACAGTAAAGAAATCTGTTGACTTCCCAAGCATTCAACTCTACTTGTGTCAAATGGCTTCTTTTTCACAGATAATTCGTATCTGTTATGTAATTACCGGGAAAATCACATCATCTGTCAGTAACAGTAAAACTGCGATCAAACTAGCTTCTGAGCAGTTTTAACGTTTTTCTGCCCCGCATAAGTTGGCTTCTACTCAATAATGGACTGATATAGATGTCAAGTGTAAGTCTTACTGTAATCTATCTTTTGGTTGTAGTTCTCTTGATCTCCAGTACAGTTCCACAAGTAACATAAGGAGAACCGCTCCATTCAAATCATTTGGTCTAGTGTTGTGAAGAAATCGAGCCTACATTGAACTGAAATAAACTCAACCGAAATAATAGGACAATTAACGGAAACAGCCAAGAAAAATAAACACTCGTGAAACCGCACACAGATTCTTAAAATTCGATTAAGTTAGTGATTATCTGATTTTACCACACCGATTGTGGTTTTGTGATATAGGACATTGTGACACTTGAGAGTTTTACAGACCAGAACCTTGACGATAGTCTTGAATACGGACAGCGTTTTTTAGAGAGAACAGCGAGTTTCGAGATTTAGAGCCTTACGGAATATTGAGCCCTGTAACACAGAAGGATTCAGCCAATAAATTCTTTACAAGTGTGTCCCTCCATCCTTAGAAAATATTACCGTCAAATTACTTTTCCCTAGAACGTAAGGCAGCTAACCCAGCCGTTCTTGTAACTAAGGCTCGTATAACCCTCTCAAGGCTAGCACATACACCTGGGATTGAATTTCGGTAAGATGCACGCTGTTTATTTTATGTGTCAGAAGGCGTTCCTAATGACGAACGTCGCCAAATCACCCAATATAATATTCAGAGTTGACATATATCGATTGAAATGAAAATTTTTAAACTCAAATCAATATAAAAGCATTTTATGATAATACCAAATTTCAGTACAAGAAATTAATTAGGTTCAAAACATTTTGCCCCGAAAAAGCTAAGACGGCTGAACATTGGTGCAGCACTTTGGCCTCCTGAAGCATTCTCCCACCAAAACCCTCAACTCCTTTTTGAAATTCGTGTTGAAATAGAAATATGCAAAAGGGTTGATTCCACAGTAAGCGTTTGACAGCCACACCACAAACTTCAGTGCGGGATAAGGCAAAGTGATTTTATGCAGAGTGTCCAAACCAACAAAAACTTGAAAAGGAAACCAACACAACACAAACAAAACAACTACAATAATCATCATACGAGTTACTTTCTTGGCTGTCTTCATCGCTTCTTCGTGTCTTTCTTCCTGATTGGCTTCCTCACCGGGTGGATCACGTGACCACAGGCGTAAACACACGATGCTGTACAGTACTGTCATGACCACAAGAGGTACGATGAAGTTTAACAGGAGGAGACATAGTGCTGCTATGTTCCCCGCCGTAAATTCGACGTGCGAGTAATCGGTCACACAGTAAACCTGCTTGCCGACGAACTTGAGGTTCGCCATAGACTGCATTCCAGCAGCCGAGCCCACTGCCCAAATCCACAACGCTGCGACTACAAGCCAGAAATGATTTGATATCGGTGAGGCTTGCAAAGGGCGAGTGACCCCGAAGTATCTGTCAACGGCGATAGCGGTTAATGTCCACACGGAGCAAAGTGGTGGAACATAAGTAACCCAGACCGTGAACCTGCATGCTGTAAGACTTCCGGTACCGTAAAACCACTTCTTAAGGAACAGGGTATCTCTGAACATGGCAGTCATGACAATCAGCGTCGTAAGTAAGTCCGCGCATGCTTGATTGAGTATGAGACGGTTCGTAGTTGTTTTCATTGAGGGTCTTGTGCGAATGATATGAATGAGGGCACAGTTACCAAAGAGTGATGTCATTATAAGAAGAATGTAGGCAACATAGAGAAAGCCGAACTGCTCGAACATCGGGGATTTCTCCGTCGGGGGAAAGGAAGAGCCATTGCCTAGAGATAGCATGAAAAAATTGTTTTATTTTTATTGGTTCTCACAATCGAACTATTCGCTTCCTTTTTTGTGTCAAAATTTACCATACAGACAAGGAAAGAAAGAGTATTTTCAAAGTCACCAGTTTCAAAAATTATGTTTATGCTCTCCGCGGTTGCTAATCTCATTTCGCACATAACATCTATAAATCAGTGCCACTCTCTAAATAACTGCGCACCCATCCCTCCCTTAACCCAACCTTAACCCTTACTTGTTACCAGTTGACTGGGTTCGGAAAGGGGTGGGTGAACAGATACTGACAATGATCCACATTTGTATTGTGTTACCGTAAATCCTCTAATAAGCCTCCGGGGGGCTTATTTATTTCAGGTACTTTGCAGGGGTGGCTTATTAGAGGGGAGGTGGGCTTAATAGAGTGGGGGCTTAATAAATGTCTTCCTCTAAAGAGGTGGACTTAGTAGAGGAGGGTGGCTTAGTAAGGGGGGAGCTTAATAGAGGATTTACGGTAGTTACGTCACAGTGAATAATTGTGAGGGTCTTGATGGGTTAACCGATATGCGTAAAATGACCAAAACATTTAGCCGTTGGCCGTAGAAAAAAGAGTTAACTGTAAAAAATTTTGTGGTGACAACAATGGAATGGTATTAACCGTTAGCCGTAAAATGGCTAAACTTTTAATCGTTAGCCGTAAGAGCCATCATCTCATGGGACCCTTATAAGCGCACTATACAGTTGGTTAATGCGTTAAATAGCATCTTACTAGATTCTGTTGGCTACTGAATCTGGTCGAAGCATTAATTTCTTAAAAATAATGCTACGTTAATTGTTTGTTTACTTCATCTCGTTAAAAGCTCAAAAGAGGGGGGATTTTTAACGATATTTTGGTTCCCGAGACTGCTTTACATCGTTGCTTGTATTTTATTAGTACATGCTGTGTTCATTTCCTATGGGAACCTTTCGATTGATGTGTCAATCAGCTCTAATTGCACGAATGTCTATTTGTGACCTTTTGTTGTTAAGGAGTTACCTTGTTTTTCCAATGTGAAGGTTATGTTAGTCGGCAGTTTCATATTTTGTAAATCGTATATGAATCCTTCTAACCTAAGAGAGAAAGCAAACACGCAAATGAAAGTCAATATGAGTTCTGCAATAACTTGAAATTATCGAGGGTCAAAGAGTTCCCAGAAACGCTGGCACTTTCTTGGCTAAAAGAAGATCAGTTTAACATTGATTGTAATGATTAAAAAAATAGCGCAAGCTTCACAGGGAAATGTTCAGTGTACACCGGACACATACTCTAGAACAGAAATTTCAGACAACTTAAATCTAACCTGCTTCATGACAAAAAAATCTATACAGCGAAGTTCGATAAAATACACTGTTGTTCGGGGCCTACATGAACAAAGATGTTCCAAGTTTGACAACGCTACTGATTGTTTCTCATTACTCAAAGTATTGGATGGAAAACGTATAGCCTATCAAGAACCAAGAAACGCGGCAACATTTCTTTCGCACTCTCTGTATTTAAGGAGTTGAGATCTGAATCCTTCCAGTGCTTCTAAAAGAACTCTTGCTGAGTGAGGTTCTCTCGTTCCAGCTTTATGTTCAGTTTTTGCTGTCTCGTCAAATCAAAGTCTCTGAACCTCCGTCCACAGTCGTAGATAATATTCTCTTTCCCAATCCATAATATACTTACCAAGATCAAAATTTCAAACTTTGCGATATCTTCCAGTCAAACGGTGAAATCCTCTCTCACCAATAATTTTGACTCGTATGAACAGCCGCTCTCGGTATCGTTCGTCAAAGAAGCACGTACAAACAATTCAGTATGACAAATATATTAATTATTTACGCTCATTTGATAACCTTTGAGGTGCCACTGATGTCACTTCACAGTCCGCTCCACGCACGCATAATTTCACGCCTGTGGCCCTTATAATGTAGCTTAAGGGCTAATGAGTCTGTGTCAGTGTATAAATTATTTTGAACGGACGAAAATACGTTTGAATTAACCTGAAAAAGATCGATTTCTCACGATAACTACATTGCAAACAATTCTGAAAAACCATATATTGCTAAACGAATTGATGTTTTAAACATCTTGGTAATCTCAATTTATGGTTCTAAAAATTTCCGTAACGCTTATCTTAAAAGAAGACGAAGAGAGAGACAATAAAACTTCTCGATAAAATTTACATTAGGGGATCCTCAGCGGAATAATGTAAGTGAATTAAATTTCCATGATAATTTCTCTCGTTCAACTGAATATTTTAAAAGGGGACTGAGCTTGTAAAGATCTTGTTATTCTCGGTGGAAAATCTGTCAACTGAAAAAGCCTGCTAAAAAAACCTTGGCGGTGTAGAAATTGTCAAGCAAACAAAATTTCGATTAACGTTCAGGAGACTCAATAGTAATATCACTAAATTGTCTCCAAAATTCGACGGAGGAGGCATCTACAGCCAAAGTGTGATATTGTGCTTCGTAAGGTTAGCTGTCTTCGCAAATGGTCATTACACCTGCGTAATGGCAATTACACCTGACTTCTAGTTTTTTCGGACGTTCATTGGCGTAGGTCAATATATTGAACAAGTTGGATGTTGAGTATTCTATTCCAGCTAGACTGTAGGTATGTTTTATTTCAGTAGTGTGCCTTGGAATCCATCAAAAGAGTGAGATGAAGGAATAAACGGGAAAAGAAAAGAGAGAAAAATAGAAGAAAGTAAAGGAACAGAAATACGGAAAAAAAACGAGAATAAGGCCAAAGAGTCGTGGCCACGTTTGACCGTTTAGTTCTTGTTCGAAGCAAGCGTTATCATTCGAAGGATGTTACGTCACAATATTAGAACTTTATTGATAAAATTTTAATATTCCGGAAAACTTTTTTTTTGAAATTCAGTAAATGTAGGTTATCCTCCATGAAATTTCTATTAGGATGTTTTGAATTTTTGTTAATTTAATGCTAATTGGTTATATAGTTAGACTTCACTCTTCATATGCTGTTATCAGGGCAACAGATGACAGAAATTCCGGTCTCAATGAGACATAATAGGAACATAGTCCTTTTTATCTTCTCGTTTGAGACCGGACTCAATTGTAGACGTCATTTGTTAACTTGGTTTGATCAATGATCATAGTTTCGTCCAACTGCTCTTGTGCAACACCTCCTTTGAGAAAAAACAATATTTTGAACTAACTCATGCAGTGAAAAAAAATCCTCCAATACTAGATTTCTGTCACCCTCATTAGAGGAACACTTAATTATATCCTGGAGACACTTTTTCTTGTTCTGAAGGTGACCTCTGAAAAAATGTTCCCCACATTTTACATTTGCTCCAGTTCTACACTTTGCGATCGAAAAAACATTACTTTTGGAATCTTGATTTTCCTGGAGTTTTTCCCAAATAAGTGGTGAAAGCCAGTTCGGAACGCTTGATTGAAAGTGAGATAGATATAGGGATTAAAACCGCTGAAAGCAACAGTCAACCAAATGAGGCTCAACTCTGATTTATAATTTCTTGGCCCATGACTGGAAAACTGTACCAATAAAGTCAAGTAATAAGGAAACCAACACAAAACAAATAACGCCGCAACGACAACCATCATCCGGGTAACTTTCTTCGCTGTCTTTAAAGCCTCCGCTGATCCTTGATTCTGATTGGTTTGCTCGCCTGGGACTTTACGTGACCACAGTTTGTAACATACAATGGTATATAACACTACAACTACCAATACAGGCAGAAGACAAAAGATAACTACAGCAGTAACGTTGAATTCTTTCCACTCGTTGAATACCTGATCAGGGTTTTCATTGTAGTCGCAGTAAAATGAATCTTGAATGTTCTGCACACTTCCCTTGGCAAGCATATATGACGAAGCAATAATGCACCAGAGCCACAGAAACACTATTGTTTTCTTTAAGTGTTTAGACAGAGGTGACTGCCTGAAGGGCTGGGTGACGGCAAAAAAACGATCGAAAGCTATTGCCACAAGAATCAAAACTGAAAAATTGCGAGGAACAAAAAGGCACGTGAGAAATAATTTGCACGTGACTAGGCCCGGAATTCCTCCAAACCATAATTTTCGCAAGGAAGTATCTTGTAGCACCGCTATATAGATTATTCTTGAAAACGTTGCCAGTAAATCTGAGCATGATTGATTCAAAATCAAGAAGTTGGTGGTGCTCTTCATGGATTTGCTTCTTCGTATGATGAGTATGAGAACTAAGTTGCCGAATACTGACACCAGAAATACAATGACATATGCTGAGTACATTAGCCACGCTAACTGGATATGCCTTCCATTGATGTTCGTCACATTCCCTAAGTAAAGTTAAACAAAAACAAAGAAAAAAAAAACAATGAATGAAAATATATGATATGGGAAAAGATGTACTTCCGTGTTGTCACGTTCCAAAGAATAATCCTATCTGAAACCTTCGGACACCGCTCTCCTAAGCACTACCACCGAACTACAGACATTCAGTTAGTCGTCAGTTAGACTATTAATAGGTTCATATTGCACACTTATTAAGATTTATGTAAAACCTTTATTCACTATAATCACTAAAAGTATTTACAAAAATTGTGATAAAAATTGGCCTGCTTCGTTTAATAGTAATGATAGCAATTATTTACAATTTTAAACCATATATCGAATTATTTACAAAATTTTAAAATAATTAATATCAATGTTCACGATAGCAGACTGATTAAAATATATGAGAAAAGAAAAAACTAAGCATTAGTAAATAGGAAAAACTATTAAAATAATAAAGACCTGAAAATTATGAGTGCAGATGTAGACCAGCTACAGCGAGGGTGAAGTCTTCTGCGACCTCGTGTGATTTAAACGGGACTCTAGAACCTCTTAAGCATCTGTGTACAGTTCTTAATATGGCAAATGAAAGTTGTATTCGTAGCCAGGAAATGACGCTGGCATAGGGTTCATTATTCTTGTTCGAAAGCTTATTTGCGAGGGTTCTTAAAAAGTTCTGACAGTCAAGTCCCATGCCTCCGTTTGTACCAAACACCAACAGAGTAAAAGTTCCCATTTCCACCTCCATCACTCTCTGGTTGTATTACCTCTTCTTCTCGTTTTCTTGCTCTTTGTAGATCGTAGCTGTGGACTTGTCCTGGTTGGACCTGGAGTTAACATACGTTACACGTACGTCGAAAAATGCTGTTACTCCTGGTGTCCAAAAGCCTCCTGCCCTCATGTCCAGCCTCGCCTCTCGACTTGTGACAGTTGACTGCTGGTTAAAAAAAACTTCATTGTCGAGCGGTTGCAGAAGTGGCTCTGTCTGCACATTTCTACACACTTTACTAATGTGTAAAGTCAGTGGATCTCGGATTGTATCCTGTCTCTAGGAAACAAAACCTCCCTTCTTGCATGACAAAGCATGGTTGACAGTAAAGATTTCTCCACATGTACAGTAGCTTGGAAAATTAGGCAGAGGGAGGTTGTAGCGGAGGCAATTGTCTCATGCTTTAGCGTCAACTATCGAGTTATGGAGTACGTGGGAAGTTTGAAGAGCACGAAAGAAGCATAAGAGTTGCCCGAGGCAATAGCCGAGGGCAACTCTAGCTTCTTTAGTGCTCTCCAAACTTCCCACAGGCACGTGCTCCATAACTCGATAGTGCACAGCTAAAACCATGAACCAATTGTTTTAGAACATAGTCGGTGGAATTGTGCATCAAATCCGACGCGAAAAACGGACAACAATATCAAGTGAAGCGAATCGTGACGGCGCTGATGCCGAGTCTCCTTTTCCGTTGTTTTTCTCTTTTTCTGCCTCATTTAAGAACTCTAGCCCAAGGGAAAATGTCGGAAAATTGTCTTAGTTTTGGGACTAGTGGGCTAAGTCTCTGTTTGTATTTATTATGGTCGCGAAATATATTATTTTTCCACGCGCTAACAATGGCCGCTCGCGCGAAGAAAAAATAGTCTGGCGAAGCGATTTGCTCACGCTATCAGCGTGCACTAGGATAGAAAGGATAGATAGATACTTTATTGGTAAATACTTCGCAGCATGAACTGAATTTGTATTCACAGATATAAAATAAAACTTACTATGTACATGTATTCATCTTATTATTAAAAAATACGTAGTTCGTCGTAAGGGGGAACTTGTACATTATTTGTGGCTGTTGACTATTCTGGCCGAAGCAATAAAAAAATTTTTTTCTAAGTCTATTTGTCTTGCAAAGTGGCAAAGGAAAGGTACGCTCGTGCCTATGAGAGCTATACATAGCGGGGTGGTAAAAGTTTGCTTAATTTGTGCTGAGGATCGTTCATTATGTTGCGAAATGTTGCTGTACACATATTTTCATGGTGGTCTTTCACAGTCGGAAGATTCATAATAGCTAAGGCCTGTTCGTATTGCATACCAGGAGAAATGATTCTCATGGATCTTTCCTTAATACGTTCTTATTCTTAGTGGAGGTATTCAGGGAGAGAGTAATGAAAAACTCGTTCTGCATAATCGATTACGGATCATACACATGCCGTATAAAAGAGACAAAGGTCTTTTGGTGGAACGTGAGCTCTTTTTAGCTGAACAAGGAAATAGGTTCTCTTTGCTGCTTTCTTCGTAATCTCAGTTATGTGACCGTTCCATTTCAAATCTTCGGAGATGATAACACCCAAGAGTTTGGCTTGTTTAATCAATTTCATGTATTTACCATCTAGCGGGATTTTGAGCACGCTTACTTATGCTGAATTTGATTGCGCTGCTCTGCTAGCTATGTTCTAATCCCTGTTATCAAACAAATGACTTAGGTGAGGTAACCCGCCCGTCCATATAATCTTTTCTTCTATCTTAATCCGACGTTTCCGTGATAGGTAAGGGAACCGACCTAGGTAGGCCGCCCGATCTAACAGGTAAGGTAACCCCGTCAGACGGTCTTAAGACTTGTTTTATGAACGTCTCAAGGTGAGGTAGCCCGCCTAGCCGGGGACCGGCGTGTTCATTTTAGATTTGCAAGCATGCCAACAACCTCTAGAAACATTACCCAGGTATCTTAGGGTTGAAAGATTTTATCTAAACGCGGGCTATTTCTTCGACCACGGCCAGGCGGTTTACCTCACGTACCTGGGATTCCCCATCTCCATGTGAACAGATCCTTGATAACTGGGGAGTAAGTGCAACAAAAACCTCCAAACGTTTTAGATTAATTGCTTTTTCAAGATCAATACCTGAACCTCTGCAAATCAAACACTAAAACGGATACCCTTGGTAAAGAAAAAGAAAAGCCAATAAATGGAAATGCTCATCGGTAAGACTGCATTCCTCAGAGCTAGGTCTCGGTTATTGCGTAACTTAGCTCTTACGTAATACCCAACACGCGACCTTACCCACCAGTTTGAATTGCAAATTCTTTACTGCAGCTTCATTGTAAAATTTAAACCAACAAGAAACTATCACACTTCTTACATTTTGTTCCGTTTTCTTCGCGAGACGCCATTTATGTCTACAGTTCAACAGAGACGGCCTTTTTTGTAAGATATCCGCGCACTATAAGAAGTAAAAAAAAACATTGACACCAACATTACGTAATCAAATTTTGCAACTAACCTAGATTAAAGTATATATCTTAGGTAATCAAACGAATTCAAGTAATATTACTAGATGTTACTGATTTTGGGAGGTGTGTAAAGTTCCACGTTTTTCGAAGCATTCAGCAAAACGAGCTGTACAAATTTTTTTTCATTCACTTCAGTAAGGTCAGAAAGATGGTTCAGAGCTGTATATTGTGGCGTAAAAGGAAAGATTACTTTACCTTGGCCGTACGAGTCAGGGAAGTACTGAAAAACTTTAAAACAAGCCTATTATCAGTACGCTGAATAGAAATTACCGATAAGAAGTATACCTACCTTATCTGTCGAAGATTCAATGCCCTTTCTATAAGCACTTGTACATTTTTCGCAATTTATCCACTTTGGGCAATTATTTCAACATTCAATTTCTATGAATATTTTTTCGTCTGACCAATAGGTAGGTTTACCTTCAAAGAGCGTTATTCAGGCTTATCAAGATTAAAATATGAAATGTTAATAGTGCCACTGTGTTGAAGTACTTATCATTTGGAGTTACCAATAGGAAGTAACGTTTGAATGGTTGTTATTTTAATGAAAACATATGATTTTTCCGATTCTTTCACCGCTGAATGAAAGGCATCCCGCATGGAAGAAATGTAAAACCGAGGGGGTTCACTTTATTTAAAATTAAATCTGTTTGAATAGCTTATTTTCTCACTTTCTCGCGATCCTTGTAGTTGTTGCCTCCGTTGTCAAGAAACTTTCGTATCTGGGTTGCATAATACTTTTTAAAAAAAATACAGATTGTATTGGTACTGAAATGACGATGCCTTTTTAACTCTTTGGCGTTGCAAAAACTATTAATATTTGATTTATTTACATCGCTAGTCAAACTTGGATTTATTGCTTTATTTATTTCTTGTTACGTAATATGGCATATTTCATCTTTAAGAAAATAGCTACAACTTTAATGTAAAACTTTGCTACGATGCATATGATGAAGAATTTGTTTCACTTGTCTGACAAAGAAATAATCCGAAATGAAAGGAATTCTGAACTCGAAACTTGAAAATAATAATTATGATAATAATAATAATAATAATAATAATAATAATAATAAACACGTGTTGTGGATGTTAAAGGGGTGAGGAAGGAAATAGATTTAGCTGAACTTGACCCTAGCTTCGAGTTTGATTGGTCGCCTCCATTAAAGGAGGAGTTGTAAGTAACCTAAGATGTTATTAATTTACTTATCTTTTCTTATTAAATTCTCTTTTATTTCAATTTTTTCAGGAGTAATAATGGTTTTATGCTACCGCATACACCGAACGCAAATATGGCGTCCAGTTTGAATTGCTATTGTTCTGGACTGACTAGCCTCGTCTTCACGTGGAAATACAAAAAGATTATTACATGTGTGAGAGGCTAGTCATTCCAAAACAATGGCAGCTCAAATTGGACGCCATATCTGCATTCGGTGTATTGAGCGAGAAAATTTCCAGTGAGGTTTTATATAACAAAGCCGACGGTTTATTATCGGTGTTTCCTTACTGTGATGAAAAGATGAACATTAAAATCAAAACTTTTTTGGTAAAAAAGTTTTAATTATTCACAATCATTTATAACTTTTTTTCCTGACTGAACCATAAGCATGCACGCTTACATGCCACGAATTAATTTGTTTTCTTAGAGAATATGTAGAAAGGAAAGACCCGTTCAATCTGAACGACTTCTTTCATTATATTTTAAACAAAGGATATTTTCCTGACTTAAGTTATCTTTTCCGTCGCCGTTTCCCTATGCTATTAGAGCACTTAAATTACAGGGCTTTTAAAGGTAAAGTGAACATAAAACTTTATAAATCAACCAATTTCTGGAGAGCCCTTTGTGTTCTTGAGAAAATTGTTATTTCAACGCAGCACTTGTACCCTCTCAAACATTATTTCATCCAGTGCAATAAACATTTATTTTGATAGCCGTTTAAGGCAGAATGGTAAAAGTAGTGTTATTTTATTGAATGAGAACGTGCGGATTCGAAATTTATTGCTAGACTTTCGACCTATTTTATTTTGAGCATGAATCTGGCGTTCCTAATTGAGACGTTCTCAGTTCCGATTCGAGTCAAGGGTAAGGCTACGTGGGTAATAAGGAAAGATCTCCAAGAATTACTTTAATTTTTAATCATCGTGATTTGTCAACAGCATATATAATGAAAAATTTGGTATTACTCTGTAATATCAATGCCGTGAAATCGTGTTTGAAGAGAAATGGTTCGTTATGTTGTTCCTAACGAAGATATAATTCGAGGTCAGGTAGAAACTGGACAATCGTGGTGCAGTAGGAACTGAATTAGCTAACCGGCTAAGATTATTTCAAGCCTACCTGAAAACGATCATTCTAAACTAGAAAATATGCAAGGCTGAAGACCATAGACGTCTTTAACGACGAATTAGGTATAGCGCAGAGGGATAGGCAACTGGAGCAAGTTCCTCAATTGACCTTAATTATATTTGCTGCAACTCTATACTTTGTGAACGAATGAAGAGGACTTGATTAATGTTAACTCTTCGTAAACAATTTCCAAAGAGACCCTTAAAAGCACTTGGAAAGTTCTGAGTAAAAGTGAAGTAAAGAAAAGGATTTAGAAAGCTGAAAAGGATGGCTGAATTAAAAAGTGGTCGATAAACACCATTAGGAAGCGGTGAGATCCTGAAATGATATACTATAACAATATCTGGAATAACCCAAAGGATTACATATAACAACACGATGCAAATCATCATTAGGTTGACGCTTTTTGCTGTCTTTATGGCTTCGACTCTGACTGTTTCCTTCTCCTGGAACCTTACGAAACCACAGTTTGTAACAGACGATAGCGTACATAGGCACAATTATAAGAAGACAAAGTGCAGTGTTCAGGATAGCTAACGTAATCGATACCATCCAACTCCGCATACGGCAATAATGATATTCTCCAACGTTCTCCAGGGATCCTTGCGCAATGACGTCTGTGGATAAGGCTGAACACCAAATCCATATACCAAAAATGAATCTTTTTAAATTTCGGGACATAGGAGATAATTGCAAAGGGCCAGTAACTGCATAAAAGCGTTCCACAGCAATCATTACCGAAGAGGCAAGCTAAAAAGATCGGTGGAATTAATAGCAACAAGAGATATAACTTGCAAGTGATGATTCCAACGAGGTTGCCAATCCAAAGATATTTATGGAAATAGTTAGCAGAAAATAAAATATCTATCAGCCTTGCTAATGATATCAAAAGGTCAGCCACTGCTTGGTATAAAATCAAACAATTGGTCGTGGACTTCAGGGAGTTATCCGTTAGTATGATGTGGATTAGAACGGAACTGCCGAAAAATGAACCTATAAAAATAAGAGTATACGGTAGTATAGATACACTATTGCCTTCTTGAATGACGCTTGTGACATTCTCTAAGAGATAAGAATAGCATAAACATCATCTTTCAAAAACTTGAATAGCAATGAACATGGCTGTACAATTTTGTGAGTGTTCAACGTGTGTATACGAAATTTAGCATTGCATTCATTATCCTTTAGCAGCAAAGGATAACTGATATTTTAATCAGTAAGAATAAAGAAAACTCTTTGTCTGAAGAAGAGGAATTCGCTTTCTTTCACGGACGGCGATACAGAAAAAAAAATCTTTGGAGTCTTCCACGGGGAAAAGAATGTTTTGGGAAAACAAATCTCATCAGTACCTTTGTAATGTGGGTTGTTCATAAAAAATGTAATGGAGTTCATTTCGCAGGTGTTTCCTTGGTTGTAGGCGAATTATTTGCCATCTTAGAAACTGTTCTGGTCAACACTTTGAACATAATTTTGTGGTTCAACTTTATGCAATAATGAATGCTTGATATATGGATGACTCGTTTCTTCTACCACAACGATCTGCGATGCGACGGACCGCTTTTTGCCCGTTGAAATTTCATGCCAATAATAACAGTGTCATTGTGCAGAACGAGGACAAATTTTGTGGTTGATTGATTTGTATATAAAGTCAAACACAGAAGTACGTTTAGAATGATTCTATTATTTAAAGTTTTGTGTTATGATCAAAGTTATTGCAAGAAAAATTTCTTTTAAGTCTTCAAGTGCATAGCTTATTGTTATAGATGATTTCCCTTTTGTACTGAATAGATAAACATGACAAGACAAAAAGACGACATTCGTCAATTATTCAGTGTTTCAGGAGCCCTTTTCTTAAGTTATGGGCTCCCGGTGTGTTCAATTATATATTTCTTTTGCTAGCATATACCACAAATAACCTGTTTTGCCTGGGAGGAAGCTGGAAATATTTTTCAAGCCTTATTTAATACTCAATTGCGAAAGATAATGTCGCCTGGTCACAAATAACTGGCCCTTTTCGTTATGTCTGAAAGTGGGCTTTGCCTTTTTTTTTTAATTTCCTGCTCTGTCGTGGTTTAACTCTCCGGTGGCAGTACTTTCTTGACAGAGTTTACTAAAGGAAAAAAATTTATAGGCAATTACTTTCTGTGTTTGACTTATTTCTTTATGTTCTTAAGAAAACGACTGTTCAGTAACAGTTTTTCCTCTCTTTTACATCAAAAATTTTGGTAAGAGTAAAAAGGAGGTGCTACATGTATATATCTGTAGATATGAGCTAGTGCCTGAGGCATCTGCCAACCTTTTTATTTTAACAGAGTATCACCATTATAACCGATTCACACCCATGGAATACAATGATATCTTTTACATATTTCTAGATCAGTTTATTTTCAGGCTGAAGCGATATGCTTAACTAAATTTAGGCATCCTTTTTTTAAAAATAAGATGGGCAGACTTTCAATGCCAAAAGGAGCGTGCTCTAAAGGTCAAGAGCTGGCACCAGCTGACTGCATGTGTGATAAAAAAGATTTGACATTAATCAAATGGTAAAATTTTAAAACTAATTTTATAAAAAAATAATTCCACACGTACATCTCAAGCAAATAAGGATCACTATGGAACTCTGAGAACATTCCATAAGACCCCATAGACGAATAGCTTTTTTTCTTTTTGCTTTTTAGGTGCAATTGATAGGGGACACTCGTTTGTACGTATTCTACGGTCGACTAATTTATCAATTATATCAATCTAAAATTAAGTCTAGCCATCCGGCACAGAATATTTCCAGCCTACCTCACATATCAATCCAAACCGACAGAAAACATGCAAGTATAACGATCAATAATTTCATTTTAGTATTTTATGACCCAGTTTGGGAAAGGCAATCGCTGAAAGTTCCGAAATTCTATAACTTTTTTTTTTCATATTTGCTGCAGCTCTATGCCCTGAGATCGAAAGGGAAGAACACGATGAATTTTAACCCTTTTTAAAAAATTTCCAAACAGACCCTTGAAAGCAGTTCGAAAGTTTTGAATAAAGGTGAAATAAATGTAAGGATTAAGGAGGCTAAAAAAAACAATCAAATTTCCACATAATTTTATAACGCTTTCGGGTAACTGCTTATTCCAATAATGCAGCATTATCACTAGTTCCGTAGAAATCCAGCAGATAGCATATAAAAGCACAATGCCTATCATCATCAGCGTGATTCTTTTTGCTGTCCTTCTGGCCTCGGCCTGTCTTTGATTTTGACTATTTCCTTCTCCTGGAATCTTACGTAGCCACAGTTTGTAACACACGATTGCGTACAAGACCGCTATCAGAAAAAAACAAAAACCAGTATTAAACAGACAAAAAGCCATCGATATCCACGGATTGTTCAAATTGCAATAATAAGGTTCGTCAGATTCCAGAAAATTTTTCAAAGTTTTCGAAAGTCCACGCGCAAAGATGACTGCCAACGAAGCTGAACACCAAATCCAAAGACCAAAAATGAATTTTTTCAAATGTCGAGTCAAAGGAGATAATTGGAGGGGGCGAGCTACTGCATAGAGACGTTCCATAGCAATCATCACCAGGAGCCAAACTGAAAAGACTGGTGGGATAAGCAGGAACAAGTGATATAATTTGCAAGTTATGATTCCTGTGAGGCCACCAAACCAGGGATATCCAAGGAGATAATTAGAAGGAATTGATATGTCTATTAGTCGCGCTATTGAAATCAGAAGGTCAGCCACTGCTTGGTATAAAATCAGATAATTGATGGTGGTCTTTGAGGTGCTATCTGTTCTTATGACGTGGATGAGCACCGAATTGCCGAAAATTGAACCAAGAAAAATAAGAGTAAACGGCACCATGAACTCGAGCTTTGGTAGTTCATTGACGTTGGTTGTATTTCCTATGAGGGAAATATGGAAATAATATGATTTTTCGAAGGATTTAAAAGAATGAACATGGTTGCAGAAACTTATGATATGGAAGTTAGCATGTATACAAAATTTGAATGGTATCATTCGCATTGTTTCGAGCATGAGAAAAAAAAATCAGAGTCCAATACCAAGAAAAGAAGGCTTTTTGGGAGTAGATCTTATCATTACCTTTGATGCGAGGGTTAGAGTACATTTCGTAAGTGTGCCTTCACCCTAGACTATTTGGTACCAATCATCGTATCGTTCTCTTCTTCAGCGTCTTGTGACAGTACCTGGCTCGGTTTGTTCATGACGTGCTTTCTTTCCAGAACGATCTGCATTAATTAAATCTACTTCTTTTTCCGGTATAAAACCACGAGAATTGGTAATAATGAAGTGGTTTTAATTGAATGTAGATGTTAAAGTTAGTTTATTTACATACAAAAGTCAAACACTACGGTCTCCATTAATTTTGATTATTTCAAAGTGACAATAAGAACTATATATTGAACATTTCTCCCTCTTTTGTTAAGAAACTAATTAAACTGACTTAAAGCTTTCAAACGTAGGCCGAGATATCGACCTTAAAAATTCTTTACAGCTTAGATCTACCCCTCAGTAGATGAAAGGTATTGCAATAAAGCAGTAAACCAATAACGTAAAAGCCATTCGTGCATGTTACTTTATTTTATTTTCTGTAATCATGATAAGCATGTGTTTTACAGAAAATCATTTCTTTATTGATTAATAATTTACTCAAGACTAGATTTCATGTAGGGAATTTCTTATTGAAAGCCCCCTCTATACTTATACAAAATTTAATTACGGTTTTTGTTCTAGTGGTGGCATACTCTTATATGAACAGAACGTTATAACCATAAAAAGTTGATTACTCTATTTATTCAGGACTAGATTTCAAATAGGGAATTTCTAATTTAAAGCCCCCTCTATGAGTTAGATAAATTTAAATTACGGTTTTTGTTCTCGTAGTGGCATGCTCTAATATAAACATAACGTTGTAACGATAAAAAATTGATTGCTCTATATGCTTTATTGACTTGAAAAGCAATCGAATTATTTTACTGAAAATAATGCTCCCAATTTTTCATTTCTTATTCACTTCTTTGTCTACTACAACTTTTAAAAGTAATTTCCACCGGCCCGTTTGCGCTTCCCCATTTGATTGTGAAAAGCCACCTGGCAAAGAATGTTTCCTGTGTATGAAGCTAAGGAGATTTCACACTAATGCAAAGCCAACAAACCAATTTATATTGCTAGATTCAATTTGAAGGAAAGCTATGTACTTGAATTTTACTGACTTTGGTTAAGCAGTAACTGTCACCTCACAAAATGCTATAGCCTTTTCATATTTACCGACTGCAACTCCATGCTTTGCGGTCGAAAGGGAATCATAACACGATGAATTTTAACTTTCCTTGAACAATGCACAAAGAGAGCCCTACAAGCCTTCCGAAAACTCAGATTAAAAGCGAAATAAATGTAAGGATTTAAACCACTGAAAATATGAGTCATGTTACCAATGAGACCGAACAACGAGGCTTGCAAGTAATTTTCAAGATCTGCCAAAAAACTGCTATTCTTGTGGGACACCATGAGAGAATGAATAATATTACAATCGCAACCATCGTCGAGATAACTTCTCTGGGTGTCTTTATGGTTTCAGCCTGTCTTTGATTTTGATTACTTCCTTCTCCTGGAACCTTGCGTGAGCAAAGTTTATAATATACGATCGCGTAAAAAGCTGATATAATAATAAGTGTAGCGTTTACGGCGACCAAAATCTAAATTCTCAAGTTCAAGGGCGTGTCGCTCCAAAACGCGGTTAACGAGGTGTTTGGGACTATTTTACTGATCGAAATGACAAAACCAAAGTTGACTGTTTGCACGAATCTTTATTCTTGAAAGGCAATCGACAACGAACCACAATCAATGACGAAAATAACGATTATTCTCACATTCAATCAATCTATCGAACGATCAATCGTAAACTGAAACAACAATGGAACGAAGTTCTATCAAGCTAATGAAAAGCCGCGGAATACATAATCAAAGAATAAAGGCTGATAGTTTCGAATGAAACTGTTTGGGGCTGCGTCGGTGGGAGTAACGAAATAATTTGGATATATCAACAAAGTTGAAATGGTAAATTGGCCACCGTAATGATTACAAAAGCTGACGTTTCGAGTGTTAGCCCTTCGTCGGAGCGAATAGAGGAATTGTGGGTTGTGTGTGCTTTTAAAGGCAGAAAATGGAGCTACGTTATTGGTGGGTGCATGGCAACGAGAAAAACATGAATAAATTAGTGGAATGATAAGCGTTCATTGATCCCTGTGGGATCAATGAACCCACAATTCCTCTATTCGCTCCGACGAAGGGCTAACGCTCGAAACGTCAGCTTTTGTAATCATTACGGTGGCCAATTTACCATTTCAACTTTGTTGATATATCCAAATTACATAATCAAAGAATCGAGTGTCAAATACTGGGCTCTAACGTCTATAACGAGATTAACAATACAAGTAAAACAGAACAAAAGTTTCGAAACAAATTAAAAGAATTTTGGTGGCTGATAAATAGCCCATTGTTCTATTTAAATGATGGGCTTTCACTGACTCGCAAATTGGCACGAATTTGGCCTTTAAATCTTAAATCTATACAGATCATTGCAGTTTGTTTGTATATTGTCGCCCAACACTGAAAAGACTGGAAGGGAAAAAACAAAGTTACAAAGGTAACATATCGGTCACATATCGGTCCCGCTTGTGTCAGAGGTTGAGAAAATGAAAGGGCCACAGTTTACCAAGGCAATTCAAAACTTACGTAGAACTGATTAAAGGGACGCTAAACTTGCCTTTTATATGCGCGTGGTGACGCTGAAAGGTTCGATTACAAAACCAATAGAAATACAGAAAAACAGATAAGCATTGTAACTAAGTGACTATCTAAGATCATTCTGAAATTAGTGAACTAATCAATAATCAATCAAAACATTAGCCTTCTGGCTAATGTCCTTAACAATAAGAGAGGTAAAAGTGTTTGCTGCACCAAAAATAAGTGTTATCCTCCAATATGTCATATTGCAATAATAACGTTCCCCATGAATTGCCACTGATCCATGCTCAATGACATCTGTAAAAGAAGCCAAAGACCAAACTCCTATCACAGTTATCGACATTTCTAATGTTGAGACAATAGAGAAAATTGCAAAGGACGGGTTACTGCATATAAAAGTTCCACTGCGATCAGTATCAAAAGCCAAACTGAAAACATCGGTGTAGCAAATAGGAGCAGACAATATGACTTGAAACTAATGAGACCAAGGGTGCCTCCAAACCAATGATACCCCAATCCAGATCTTTTAAGAGGTGCAATATGCATTAAACTTTCCAGTAGTCAAAAGGTCAGCCACTGCTTGGCATAAAATTAAGTATTGGATGGTTGTCTTCAAGGAGTTATCTGTTTGTATGATGTGAACTAGAACAAAGTTGCCGATAAAGGAACACGGAGAACTACAAGAACAGTCATAACATTAAAAAGCAACTTGAGCTACACTCTACCATCATCTTCACTGAGGCTGCCGGTCGTATTTCTTATGATAGAAGAATGGAATATGATTTTTGCCAAAATGTGGTTGTTCAAGCTTGTGGATTTCAGGTGTATATTAACTACAGACATACTTAGCAATATAGTCTCACAAGATCGAATCTTACCTGTAGAAGTACACAATGTCATGCTGGTCCAACAATTCACGAGCCACTGTCAAACGCTAACAGCTTTTTCCTTGTAACTATGAGAAGGCTGTTCCATTAGACCAAAAGGTCACAGAAAGACTCTTTAAGGCAGGTTTTAACGGACAGGTCTTATCACCTTCAGGGAAAAGAGAAGTACTTGTGCTCGCCAAATTTCAGATTTCAAGGTCTCTGCTGTTTGGTAGAAATATGTGAAATTCTTGTCACTATTGCATCCTACAACTCTTACTTGTTGACAGGAGTTCAGGGTCTCCTCATGAAGACAAAACTGTATTGATGTCAATATATGAATAATTTACCATGTAACTTCAAAACGAAAAAGTCGTTACAATGAAAATGATTTTATTTGTTGTTTGGAAGAAATGATCTGAACTGTGTAATATTTATTCATATGTTGTTTATGCCGATGATGTCGTCATCAGTAACGTCAATATGGGGATAGGAGAAAACACATCTAAGGGGCTGTGAAATATTCTGATATTAAAAAAAAAGGAATATCATGGTGGGATGGTGAAACTCTACCCCCTGCCGGCCCCACCCTTCTAGGTCCATCCTCTATCCACCAAGTGATCTCGTTTCTTGTGAGGGTTTTCAAGAGAAGCTGTGCGTCCTGTCCGAGAGAAATTAAGGAAAATGGTAGCAACATAGCTGGTTTTCAGAAAGGTTTGTTTTGTTCACTAATTTAAACCAAGTATGGAGAGTTGCGAGTCAAGTTTACTTGCCTTTAATTTACTGTATAATATTGTTGTATTCAGTGCTTTTTATCGTGATGTAATAATAATAATGATAAATATCGTTTAATCCACTCTTTGCAGTTCAAACTATGTACAAACTGAATTATCAAGCGGTATCATTTACAAAACTGTTAAATCTAATTAAAGTATAGTTATGTATAGTCTACATAATAATTAACCTAAAAATCTAAAAGTTATAAAGTCATTAGCTCTCTTGGTTCTTGCCTCCTGGCGAACGGACTTTTCACGCCCAGATCTAAGATTACGAGGAACATTATAAAAATTAGCTTGGGAGCGGAGTTTCCATGTCACATTTAGTGCAAAACCTTACAAAAACTTCTGCAAAAGTTTCAAAGCCAATCTTCACAAACACTAAGGATACACATTTTCTTTCCTCTTAATTGTAAAACTAACATCATATTACTGTAAACTTTGATTTACAGCCCACAATACTTAAGGCACAGAATTTTGGCCATTACTAAAAATTACAAGACTTTTTCACAATGTCAACTGGTTTGCAATTAGTTAAAAATTGTTTTTGGAGGACAAGACAAGAAGTACTAATAATATTTCCATT